ACAGCACGATCTGTTTAATCATTTAAAAACTACATGAAATGCAGATGGTCCGGGAGGGAGAGAAGGCTAAGACTCATTTACCAAGTCAGAGAACACAAAGACCATGGGCAGAACACTTAATTTGGTTAGCATCTTTGGGGATTTTTTTTAAAAATTCCAACACAATTGCTGTCTCACACTACTGTAGTTTGTTTCTGATAAAAACAATTCTGTTGAATTAAATTTTAGCACCAGAAGTTTTTTTACCCTCCTTCTTTAAAAATATGGAGGATTTCATTCCTGGGAAAAATAGCTCAGAAAACTTGGCAGTTGTTGAATTTGGAGATAAAATAATAAAATAGTGTTAATGAGAAGCATCTTTAAAAAGAGATCATGTTCAGTTAACACAGAGAACAGGTTTTGGGGTTTGTTTGTTTTTTAAAAAAAGGTTGGACTATCAGATGCACCTACTTCAGTGATGGCGAACCTTTTAGAGACTGAGTGCCCAAAAACTGGCCCCACCCCACTCCACCCCCTGCCCCGCCCCTGCACAGTCCCCAACCCACCTGCCCGTAGGGCCACTCATCGCCTCCAGGGCCTGCCGCAAATCACCCAGCAGCGCCAGGGCAGCCATGTCCTCTGCCTGCGCACTGCAGCATCAACTGTGCATGAGGGCAGAGTCTAGTCTATGCTGCCTGGTTGCGCTGCTCTGTGTGGGCGACGCTTGGGGGCGACTCTTCTCCAGGAGAGCTGCTGGTGAGGAGGGTATCATGGGGGGAGGCAACGCTGGGGCAACGGCACATATGCCCACAGAGAGGGCACCACTGACCTACTTCATCACTGGCCGGCCTGCCAGCCATGCTTATCTGAGATATCAGTAGAAAGAAAAAAAACTACATAAGTATGGGAATTTGAGGTATATTCAGTCTGGTGAAGAGAAGAACACATGGAGACATTATAGATTTGTTGCATAGAAAATGATGCAGGCTTGTTTGCTGATGACAAAATGCAAGTCTAGAAGCAATGGGAAACCAACAGGAGAAACAGTAAAAAATTTCTCACTAACAAAGAATAGATGTGGGAAGGCAGAGGAATGTTTATTCCTGGGAATGTTGAAGTGAAGGTTGGATGAAATATGTTGAAAATATTTGCAAAATAAAAGTACTGAGTAGAGCAGCAGACTTGATGGCCATCAACAATCCTGCCTTCTATCTGGACAGAGAGATGGGATACACATTAAAATAATATAAAGCAATCTTGATACCAACTTGTTGGTTCCTTATGAGGCATGAGCTTTTGTAGATAAGCTGTGTCTTCCTCAGCAAACTCTTATCTGCACAATTTCCATGCTTTTGTTAATATGGGTTGCAGCTTATGAAAGCACAGCTCCAATAAATCATATAGGTATTAAGGTGCCAAAGATATCTTTGTCATTGTTGCTTCAACAGACTAATGAGGTATTTGGATTTTTGGCAGAAATAACACACGCTGAATTGTTTCCCAAAAACTGTGTGTGCAAAGTGCTCACAAAATGTCACAGTGGGATTGTGTTGTGTAGCAGATCTTATGCATCTGGACACGTGTGCAAGGAAAAAACATCCTTGGGTTTACTTTGTGTGATTGTGCAATACCTTAGGATGTTTTTCACAAGGCTGGCCCTACCGTTGGATAAAATGATTTGGAATGTAATGGCAGAGCAACAGTCTGCTCAGTCACTTGATTGAGATAGGCAACTATAGAAATGAAATGAATGAAATAAATACAAACAATTTGTCAATTACTTTTGAGGAGTGAAAATGTTGCATATAGCAGAGAAAATAAGAAGGGCCAAAAGTAAAAAAAACATTAATATTAAAGTCATTAAATCTATATGGGAGATATTCTGAGTTTTTATTAGATCTTGCCCACAAATTTGTGCACCTTCTGATGCACTAAGGAAAATACTATCTGCGTATTGTATGGATTTTGGAATAGAACAGAATATGTTTTTCTGTAATCACTAATTTATGGCTCTCAGGTAATTCACATGTTTTATAATAACCTGGATTTTCCCCATATCCCTTTTGCCCCTCCAGCCCATCAAAGATAATGCTTTATGCAATGACTCTGCATATCCAAATAGCTGTATGCTTTTAGCAAGCCTATTTTTTAAAATACAATTTAAAAAATGTATTTAAATACAGTTTTAAATACAATTTAATCTGGGCATGGAATTGAAATGGCATTTGTTCACTTTTGGATGACCTTTGTTGTGAGCACGATGGCGTAGTGCACTCATTCTCGCTCAGTGACTTTGTAGAAGCAATGGGAAACCAACCATAGGATCGGTCAGAGCCAGTTGGGCCTAGTGCTTAAGGCACTAGTCTAGACACCAGGAGATCTGTGAGTTCTAATCCTGCCTGAGGTAGGAAAGCTGGCTGGGTGACCTTGGATGAATCACATTCACTCAGATCAACTCACCTCATAGGGTTGTTGTGTGGAAAATAGGAGGCGGAACTATTCAATACTGTATGTTCACTACCTTTGTATCATTTATAAAAATAATAAAGCTGGGTAAAAATAAATAAATATTTCTGGAACAGCTCCAGGGGTTGGGAGATAATGGAGTTACACACAGATACATCTAGGGGTTTTTGCTGTTGTTGTTTTTGGTGAAAATTGCATTTGTACAAGAGCGTAAGGCATGGCTCATTTGCATATGTGATTTCTTTTTTGGAATGGGAAATATTTTCCTCAGCTGAGGAATGGAACAACACTGCTGGAGAATGTTCATATTTCTTTCCTAAACTCTTGATTGACAAGAGTGAGAATGTTACAAGCACTCACACTTGTAAGAGCATGTTGCATTCAGTCCTTAGGGATGAATAACCAGAGACTTTCTGCCATCTTTGTGCTTTTGATCCTATCTTGCCCTACTGGCTCTTCTTTTTCTCCAACCAACCTCATCTTGCCTTTGCCTTTTGTCTGCTTCCTTCTCTCCTGCCTTGATCTGAATTGATTTCACTGGAACTTGACCTTGCCCTCCATTAGTCTCTGCACAAGTATTGCCTTAGATTATGCGGATTCTTTGGCTGAAGATGTGACATATTGTCCTTAGTGCACCAATTGGGGCAGAATACCCATTTAATTTATGTAACTCTGCAAGAGAAAAAAAATCAAAGGAATACTAAATGTGCAGAGTATAAGTCAAATATTCTGAAATTAAAGGGAAACAATCATTCTTATTTTATCACAGTATGTGCGGGCAATAGAAAACAAAACAAACCTTACTACTGCATCTAATATTTATAACACTGCCCAACATAATCTTTAATGCCTCTTTTACTAATTGCTCTCCTTCTTTGAAAAAATCGCATTCTCCTCATCTTTAATCTTGGAAAGATCACTTTGCAAACTTTTAGAAACCATGTTTTAGAAAATTATTTTTTTTAAAAAAAACTTAAATATGTCTATCATATGCCCATTATGTTGTTATTGAAATCAGAATTTGCCTCCTGCAGCTTCTATCAAGAGGAGGCTCAGAAACTATCATTCAGTATAAAAAAGCCCCTTCAGGAGCAGCTTACCAGCCCATAAGAAAAGTTTCACCAATGTATTGTTTCCATTGATTGTTGATGACTGATATCTGCAGTGTTTTTAACTTTAAGGCAGTGGTGGGATTCAGCCAGTTCGCACCACATTGGCAGAACCAGTAGCTAATTTTTTGTTGTCCAGGCCCAGAATGGACTTCCAGAAGCAGCATCCACACAGAGATCCGGTTGTTCACATATTTGAATCTCACCACTGCTGTAAGGGACTTATTAAGTTTAACTTCCATTCATACAAAACCCAGCATACATACCCATCACACTGAGTATGTTTAACTGAAGGTTTCTTAAATTTTGTTCAAGTCAATTTATGTTTACAATCACTGTTAATAATCTTTAATTTTTTTAAATTTGAAACAGGCCTTTAATTTTATAACAATATTTGGAGAAGCAGAAGCAACATTCAAAGAACTGGATGGGTGCTTCGTTAAAGCAATATAGAGATGATGATAATTTAAGAAGTACTATCCCACTACAAAGCAACTTTATTTTTTTCCAGAAAATAAGGGGGGGGGGGAAACCCAGAGAATTTTATACAATGATATTTAGCAGCCAATGCTACAATCTAGGGCCTCTGGTCCTTTCATCAATTATATGCATGAGTAATTTAGTTTCACTATTCAGCCTCAATGCATAAATGTTTGCAGGATCGTGTTCTTAAGACCCCTTCAATTAAACCCTTAAGGGATAATAGCCTGCATTTGAGACACTAGCTTGTTCTGACATGACAGATGGGGGAAAGAAACAAACAATAATAATTAGTTGTTCATTTTGATATACTTGTTATCTACTCAGAGGGGGAAAAAGAGTGAAACAATAATTTCCAGGGTCATTATATAAAAATTAGCAAATATATATATTTGTCATGTTCTTGAATACTTTTGTAATGATATGTGAAGGTTCATACATATGGGTGCTGTTTGTGCCTTTTCTATACTAAATTTTTACTAAATATATATAGCATGTGTACCTATGAGACACACTGTGAAGATAAACCCATTAATCTCTAAATTCTTGCCATTTCTGAGCAGAAATTCCATGCAGTAAGCGTCTCAATGTGAAATCCATAAAATCCATAAAAGGAGATCTACTACTGAAATACTAGGATAAATGGCTGGTTTGCATTGCCCCTGGTCTTTATCCAACACTGAGAATAGACTGCTGTTTTATCAAAAGAGGAATAAATTGCTGTTATTGTGATGTTAGCCCATCACTTGGCATTGCAATTCAGGTTTTTGTGAGAAAGAAATGTATGATCTAACTGCAATTTGACCTATGCCTTCTGCGATCCATATAGGTGCTCTAATGGAGCATAAAAAAAAGTGTGGAATACAAGGACATGTAAACTGGTGGTAAAGAAATGCATTTGAGGGAAATATGGAAGGGCATGGGAGTTTGTGTGCAACTTATTAAACCAGAGAAGAGAAGCAACAATTCAGGGGTAATTATTTTATTTTCCTATACCTTGCAATCAAGCACAGAATGAAGTATAATACCATTTGATTTTTTTTCCAGATACTTCTAAAAACAGTTTTTTTTAAAAAAAATGAGATGATAAACTTCTTAGAATGCCAAAAAGTGTTTTTTAAACCAGCAAGAAAACAAATCCAAATAGTTTTGTCTTAGGCTTTGAAAGGTATGTATTGCTTCTGGGACAAAAATGTTAATGAAATGATATGGGCTATGGCCAATGTTAGGTGATATTTTGGAGGAGTGAGGGAGTAAAGGAAAGGCCACAATTGCTACAGCACCCAACATTTCTCCAACAAGGACCTATTTTTTAATAGCAAGTATAGGAAACAGTTGCAGTTAGATTTCAGAACTGATAAAGACTCACTTTTCATTCATAGTCAGAGCACTCTTCTTGTACCTAAACAGATAATAAGTACTCAGCACACTCCCCCTTCTTGACACAACACACTGAGACTAATCACACATAATTGGAGAGGAGGAGCAGAGGGCTGGCCAATGCATTGTGTCCAGAGGACAAATGGTCAGTTTATGAAGCTTTAGTTTGAAGCAATAATTTCTAATACATCTACTGAGAGGACAACCTCCCCAAATAAAAACTCAACAATAAAACTCCAAAATCCCAAATCCTGTTGTTAAAAAAATCAGATAAACTGAGTTTGAAAAATTTCACTCTGAAAAGAAAACCCAAAAAGTAATTTTTAAAAATAGCCTAAGGGATAATGGTAAAATAAGATGAAAATCTTCCTAGAATACCGTATGATATGGTCTCAAATGTTGGATACATACCAGTATCTGTTTTTTTCACTTACTTGAACAATAAATCTTTTAGCATTTTGCAGTTGGTCAAACACATTTTTCCAGATACAACAGGAAAAAAAACCATTTTTGTCACAATGAAGAAATCATGTGCAAAATGACAGCCACAAAGGAAGGAAAATAGAGCTCTTGAAACTTTCAGCTCTCTTTTTAATGCAATGGACCCATAGTTCTAGAGTGATCTACTCTGCATTGTTCAGAGTTTACCTTTCCCATGAAATTATTACATAAATACATTCTGTTTTGTAATAAAATATTGTCTTCCCATATTTTATCCTTCTTTGGTTAAAACAAGAAAAAATGGATAGTGAAGATTTGGGTCATAAATATTGTTTTCTTCTTTTTTCAGCTGCAAATAAAGAAACAAAGCAACAGTCAGTTTATTTTAATCATAAAAACATAATCTTTGTTGGTATGTTTGTTTTTGTGGGAGGAGTGAGTATCAAATGAGAAAATAAACATTAGACATAATTTTTATTTTCATTTTTTATAACTAATTAAAATTGCTAGTGAGAAAATATCATGCAGTGGGGTAAATGTGGTTCGTCTGAAATATACAGATACATGAAAGCTAAACTGTCTCCTAAAGAATAAAGCTTTATATTTATGATTGATAAAACACTGAGATCATCAACAGCTAACAAACTTAAGTAGTTTTGCATAGTAATTCAAACTTGCCTCTCTTTGAACACAGAATAGTGCAGTATTCTTAGCAACAAGAACAAAGATTATGTGAACTCTATAACTCAATGCAATGTAATATGTATTCTTAAAACAAGTATTCATTTAGGCAGCTCTCCAGTGAAAACTTTCCAAGTAGTTGAATTTGGCATATATTTTCTATAGGCACAAACTACTGAATTCAAGAAGTTTTTCAGATGAAAATCAAGTCATCTTAACATTTTAAATGACTTCACTGAAACAATTTCCTTGTGTGTGTTTACAGAGGGGGGAAGGCAACACTAAACTGAAAGATAGGAGACAAAGAATATGAAGTAGTGTTCCTTTTTCTTTAACATATAATATTTAATATGTACTATTCTAGTGTACATATGTATACTAGAATATTATATATTCGAAATAGCTTCTGGCATTTCTTTTCAGCCATTATATAAACAGGAATTTACCAATGTCCTACTGTTTAATTCTGAGGAATAATTTTCCATTTATGAGTAGTGCAATTTTCCCAACAACAATTATTAATTTCTCCAAATTCTCAGTCATGTTAACAATGACAATTTGGTTCTTTAATATTAGCACAAGGAGTTCTATGTGAATAAAATGGCTCATTAATTTAAATATTATTTAAATATCCAACTTATTGTTCAGGAAATGTTATTCTTAGTGGCTGATGTACTTTGATTAAAATGGCATTGCAAATACTAAAATGTTGGTATTATACAGAAATTAACTGATTTTTTTTGGTGGGTGGGTGTGTGGCATGAATTTTCATGGGACACATTCCAAATGATCTCTTGAAGGACCAAAAATACTCCATTGTTAAAAGTGTTGTTAATAATAATAATAATGAAGAAATGCTTCCTTTTTTTAAAAAAAGTGTACAAAATAATTTCCAGTTTAAAGTTTTCCCCAGGTCTGTTTTTTGGAAAGGAAACTTCATTTTCTCGAGGAGTAAACTTCAAATGGTCATCCCTATTGCTCATAATCCTCTCTACCCTGATGTGTCTTGGGTCAGCAGTTTCACTAACCTACATCCAGAAATAATATCTTGTAACCCCGTAAGGAAAAAAAAAATGTTCTTCTTTAGGAATGCAGCAGATCTGGTCTCCCCCCCCCCCCAGTCTCTTTTAACCTGAATTCTCTAGTGACCTCTGGTGGCAGCCCAAAGGCTCCATTGCAGAGTTTAAACACAACCCAGACCCGGCTTCACTATTCCAGATTAGCAGGGGGATGTTAAACAAATAAATGCCACAAAGGCATGTATTACTGCAACCTGTTATCCAATCGTAAGTGCATTGGAAACATAACATTATTGAACTCATATATGCATACACAGAAGCATTTGTAAACAGTGCATATGCTTCAGTCCAGAATATTATGTAGAGTGTTATTGCGCACATCATGGTTGCACTTCTGAGCCCAATTAATTATTGTAATTTTATGAAACGGGGAAAAAAATCCTCGAAAGCCCACCCTTTGAATTGCACGAACAACTAAAAGCAAATTGTGAATAAAATAATTTTTCAATTTTGGAGGCAAGAAGAGGGAGGAGAGCAAGAGAGGCCTAGGAGAACTGAAATAAATTATATGGCCACTCTTGGTAGCATTATGCTTTCCCTCCTAATTGGATGTAACACACTCAGACCCACAGGGTGAACAGCAGCAACGGGAGCGGAATTCATACTGTTTACCCTTTACAGTAGCCACAATTATTAACCGCACACCAGACACATTATAAGCACTAGCCACTCGTAATGTGGTATTTCAAATAGATAAGGAGAAAGGCAATATAACTATTCTTTTGACATCACATTCTGCACTCGTACCACAGCCTCAGCCTTTGCTTTTGTTTAGAAAACCATCCCAACTTTGCTTTGTCCCTATTATAACATGAATCTATGCTACCCTCAGCTTTATATTTTTGTTAATTATTTCAGGAGAAGGGAAATATTGGATCTTTCATACCCAGTTTACAATGTATATTTGGCAAAGGAGCATAACCTGCGTCTCCTTATTTTTTATGTTTTAATTATTAAGAAAATATTACAGAAGTTAGTGTGAGAGTAATGCACTGCGAAACCCAACCTGGAGAAAGGATGTGTATATACTTTTTAACAAAAGCAAAAGCAGAAAGTATAGGGCCAGTTTTGATTACAGGCTTGTTTTTTTAAACGGAAATAAAATTTCACAGCTAACAATGAGAGGTGAAAAGTTTAAGAGGCAAAGCTGTTCCTCCTGATCACTGCCTGTTAATCAGCTTCATGGGTGGTTGCCTAAATCTGTGGATTTTTTTTATATTGTTGTTACTTGCACTACTGTCAAGATTGTAACTAATTTTTCCCCCTCTTCTTCTAAGAGGAGAGGTGAATAACTCGCCATAGAAGGCAGCTGTGGATGAGTGACATGAAGCACTAATGCAGAGGGCAAAATTAAAATTCATGAATCTCTTCACAACCATTTGTGTAACAAGATTAAGACGGGACAGCAGAAAATAGCTGCATTATCAGGCTTCTTACAGTTCTCCAGCTGGTTACGCTCTATTCCAAAACAGTAGGGATAAGAGGATAACACGGAGCCAAAAGGAAAATGCCTCTCCTTCATTTGGGAGAAAACAGGTCCGAGGAAAAGATGAGGCTTGGATATGCAACCAGAAAGCATGATCCTACTTAACCACCAAACTTTTCACCTAAATCCAGCAATAAAAATGAAGGTTACAGTCAGCCTCGCAATTGGAAAGAACGCCCCCCCCCACCTTTTTTTCCCCTTGGAAGAAGAAAGAAGAAAATTCCAAAAAGTAGGTATATCAGCCATCATCAGTTTACGAGAAAACTAACTACTGAGCCAGAAGGATGGGGAATATTTGCAACTGAACTTGGGAAAAACAGTTTGATATCCAACCATAGGAGCATATAAAGTTTGTGGTATCTCTATTTTCAGCCAATACATCTTTGCCTGAACCCTCTTTCGTTCTTGCACATTGCTGTACGGCCTCAACTGCTGAGTGCTATTGTTATTTACTGTGTAATTGTTTGTGTTGCTCTATCTTAATCCAAAAGGAGTGGCTTTTTTGTTTCAAGCTCTTTCAAACTATACACAATTTACTGACTAAAATATACATCAATACAACAATCAATCAATGTATACTGCATAGTGACTCACAAGGCAACTCTATATCCTTTATATGGAAGGGAAATGCATGAAATTCACTGAGACTGTTCAAAATAAATAGGTGAAAAATCACTATATTAGCATTTATCAGTAATGGAGGACACTTAAGAGACATTTTTCTTGTTTAATTATTCTGTTATGAAGGAACTAGTTACTGAAGAATGTACCCCTAGCAACTTTTCTGAATGATGTTTAAACATACCCAAAGGGTTTTGTTTGTTTGTTTGTTTTGGAGGGATAGAGAAAATTGACCAGGCCCCATGTTCTGATTTTAATTCTTTTTAAGTTATCCCTTTCAGCCACCTTGAAAAAATAAAAAAACAAGACTCATACAAGAAACTTTTGTTTTTGTGAGATAATATAAATTTGATTAATAAAGTAAATAAATTTACACATAATTCATTAATCTCTGAACATAAAGTTTATGATTTATATATGCCCATGAATTTTCCTGTACTTTTTCCTCAAAGGGTAGCATTTCATTATTCTCAAAAAAACAAAAGGACCATGCATGTGAATGGCACTGGATGGCTTAAGCCCACTCTTCTACTCTGGAGTGGGGTGGGGCTGGTGGCTGATCCAGTTATTTGTGATTAAGGTTTAATCATGTCATCTGAGCTCTGGAGAGGATGCTTCTCCTGACTAGGTACTTTCAATGGTTTTCTCTACCATAAATAGCAGGTGTCCCCCTTTGTATCACCTGCTTAATTATCAGCAAGGAACAATGCTGGGAGTTTGAGAGATATGTTGCATGGGGCACTAGGGAGAAGAGTGGAAGCTAGCAGGAATGTTCATGGAAGTCAGTGTCATACAATTACTTCTCTGGTGCCATTATTTCAGAATACCTTTACTGACACTGAATTTGCTTGCTCTGAACAGTGAATATATCTGAGATTGATACAATTCTTCAGAGCCTCTCCTACTGTCGGAGGAACTGGGAATTGGTGTAGCTCAATATGTGATCCACCAAATTAAATGTAGCCCATTATTAGTCACAGAACACATGCTACCAAATGAACACCTGCCTTCTATTTTTGCTGTCGTAGAAATGCAACAATATTTCTATCAACAATTTGATACCAAACACCACCCTACTGCCTTCTATTTTGTTCTGCACCAAAGAGGATGGTTGGTGCCCAAGTAGTTATTTTCTTCCTAATTCACAATGTACTCCTGTTCTAGTTTCTTGTGTAATTCCTCAAAAGTATTTTTACAATACGATTCCATCCACCATTCTATGCACTATCCACGGGAAAATTTAATATAGTTGGAACACAATTATTTTGTCATGTTCTTTAAAAATGGAGATGATCAGAGGCAAATGAAGAATAGCATCAAGGCCCGAAACTGCGTGAAGCAATTGTTTTCTAACTATGCATCCCACATAGTGTCCCCAATGTGAAATATTGTACAGCTGCTTTTGATTACTAATTGTCTGGTTTAGAGTATGATTTAAAACGGGGAGAAGAGCTTGCAAAATTCTTCTGACAGACTTAATTC